ATCTTTTAACAAAACAAAGACAAAAACAGGTCAAATGTATTCTATTTGTAGACCATCTGCAATATAGTTTGCTTGTATAAATTCAAACCTCCAATCTTGTAGACATCCTGAAGAGGTAGGCGGAGGGCTTTGTCAGTTGGACGTGTTGGAGGCTGAATGGCGTCCAGAGCCTCCAATAGGGTGGTCCCAGATGCATTTCCCTCTTTCCGGGTAATCTTCCAACCCTTGAACCAAGTCATCTAAAGTAAAGACAAAGAAACCTAATGAAGATGCTGATTGGAACCAACCTGCTGGGATGCCATTTTGCACAAATATAAATTATTAATTTTCACTGAAGAATTGTGTAATGCTCCATACTGGCACATGGAAACTTATAGGGCTGCATGATTTGGGGGGAAAAAATCTAATTTTGATTTTTCTGATTAAAGTTGCAACTGCGATTTAAAATGTGTTTTTTTTAGTGCTGTCAAAATTAGCACAATTAATTTTTAATGAATTTGTTTCAGTTACGCGTTAAAAATATTTAACGAAATTAACGCAGGGGCGGAGCTAGGGTTGGCCACCCCACTCACAACTGCTGCTTCTGTCTCTTTTTTTCTTGACAAGAATTGCGTTTATTTAGACGCAGAACGTCTTTACGGCCACATCAAACGAGAGACTTTTCAGACACGCACTCCAACTTCACCTTAGCGTCAGGCACTTGTCAAATGAGCACGGAAAAGGTACAGGTGATAAGGGAGCTTCAGTAGAACAACAGTGATCTGCGGTCAGATGAGATGTTGTCAGGCCATATGTCAGTAAATACGACTGTCCTGTCAGCCGTTATACTGTGTTTCATATTAAAGTGCAAATGAAACTACGAGCATGCAGTGTCGTAGTTATATTGTCAGTTAAGTAATGAAGTTACCAAGTTACCACAGGTAAATATAACATTCATTGTAATGGGTTTATGTTAAGATTATTTTAAGTTCACTTAAATTAGAAGTTGTTTTTGAACAAGTCTGAAGTCTACTAAATGTTAAAATAGATAGCTCTCAATTATACTGTAATGTTGAATGGCTAGTCAATAGTTAAATATTAGGAAAAAGAAAACAATTTCCTAGAGACATCAGTAGTTTTCGTATCAGTGATACTCCCCTTCAGTCATAAAAAAAGATGCCATTAAACAAATATTAAAAATGTGTTTATGTTGTTTCTACATTAATTTGAAGATTAAATGTGAAATTATTGCAATATAAAAGTATATTTAAAAGCTGTATATTAAAAAAAATGTTAGGTGGAATTAATCACAATTAATTTCAGAAAAAAATGTGCAATTAATTAGTTATTTTTTAATCAATTGACAGCACTAGTTTTTTTTAAGCTCCAAGTTTGCTGTGCTTGTTTGTAAGGCTGCACAATATGACCAACATTCTTGTGATTATATATTAATATGACCAATAATAATTATTACTGAAATCAATATTTTGATTATAACTAAATAAAAATATTCAACAAAATAAGAAATACCACACTATTTTACAGCAAAAATAATAAAAATAGAAATATTAAAATAATTTTATTTTACGGCAGATCTGTAACATTACAATACTAGTGTTTATGGCTGTTTTCATTTCACAATTTTCAAACGTTCAAACAACAAGCTTTTATTTTGGTGGAAAACCACAGGAAGCCCTTAAATCTTCTCTTCTGTTGTCAACAGATGGTTCATAAAATTTTGGGAAGATGATTAGCGCATGTTGTGTTCCCAAATACACGTTATAAAGCAACCTAAACAGCATTTGTGTGGAGCAAAATTCACTGCAAACCAAACCACTGAGACGCTGAGAACACGATCATGATGAACTGCATGTGTGTAAATGAACACAGTGCTGCATTTCACTCTGAAACACGCAGTGCATATATTGATTTAAATAAAACATTCCTTTTCGATTTGATAATTGCACTAAGCCATATCACAATTTCGGTTATATTTTCATTAATCGTGTAGCCTTAACGGAAACAATACTTTATTTCCCCTGTCATACTTACATTGGGACTGGCCTCAAGCATGTTATCTCCATTCCAGCCAGAGATGGGCACGAATGCTACTGTGTCAGGATTATAGCCAATCTTCTTGATGTAGGTGCTGACTTCCTTCACAATTTCCTCATAACGCTTCTGGCTGTAACTGGGTTCAGTGGAATCCATCTTGTTGACACCCACAATCAGCTGCTTTACACCCAATGTGTAGGCCAGAAGAGCATGCTCTCTGGTCTGACCGTTCTTCGAGATTCCAGCTTCAAACTCTCCGACACCTGCCGCTACAATCAGCACGGCACAATCCGCCTGAGGTTCAGAAAAACCGTAAGGAATTCTTAATTTTTTTCTAAATAGCAGCTACTCAAATATATTTGTGTGCCTGTTAAGTTCCTAACCTGTGAGGTTCCAGTGATCATGTTTTTGATGAAGTCCCTGTGTCCTGGAGCATCAATGATGGTGACATAATATCTGCTGGTCTCAAACTTCCACAGGGAGATGTCAATGGTGATTCCTCTCTCTCTTTCTGCTTTAAGCTTGTCCAGCACCCAGGCGTACTTGAAAGAGCCTTTTCCCATCTAGGAGTGAGACACATATACATTCTATTATATAACAGCTTGAAATAGTTTGTAATCATATATTAATTTAAATGTCGCCAATATCTCCATCATACCTCTGCAGCCTCTTTCTCAAACTTCTCAATTGTTCGCTTGTCAATCCCACCACACTTGTAGATGAGGTGGCCAGTCGTGGTGGACTTTCCGGAGTCCACATGGCCGATGACCACAATGTTGATGTGGAGCTTCTCCTTTCCCATGGCTGATTGCTTTATTTAAAGTGCCAATGTAACTGTAAAGCTTTACACAGACACCAACAGTCACTGTGCAAATTCTATAAAAGACAAACTACGTTAAACACATGTTCCCTTGCTAGAGGATGCTTTTTATCCAATTTTAAACCCACTAATTCCAGGATCTTAAGAAGTGGCCATTTAAACACAAGCACTGTTCGTCAGTAGATCCGATGATACAGTACCGGAATAGTACACCTCCAAATGAAAATTCTTGCATGTATTCACACCCATGTCTCCCAAGCCCGTATGACTTTTATTCTATGGAATATTATAGGAGAAATTTGTAGTACACCTCCAAATGAAAATTCTTGCATGTATTCACACCCATGTCTCCCCAAACCCGTATGACTTTTATTCTATGGAATATTATAGGAGAAATTTAAAGAATATTCTGGCCATTTTTTTGCAACTGAATGAAAATGAATGGTGACTGAGGATGTAAGGCTTTAAAAAGGATGTAAAATCATATTGGACAAGAACGACCTGCACATTCTTCAAAAGTTCTCCTTTTGTGTTCTGCTAAAGAAAGTAAACCACGCAGGAAATCTGGTTAAACAATGACAGAAATCTAATTTTTGGGAGTAATTCTCTCAGAATGACCTATGCAAATACTAGCTAAGCAATGTCTATGGCTCCCTGTGACTGCAGATTTGAAATGTCTCATCATTTGTTTATCACTCAATGAACACCCAAAGAAATGCAGACAAAGAAATTTGTTTAACAAATATGGTATTCACTATGCCATCTTTTTTCAACCTTCAGACCAGCACTAAGTTTATCCTTTCGGGCTGTTAAGGCTTCTAGTTCTGCCAAATAACTAGCAACGCTTTAACAGACTGGGCATGCCTTTCTTCATGCTTGGTACATCTTTGTCCTGCAGACCTCCATTTTGTAAAGATTTGCCTACTGATTTAAAAGACTGGCAGCCATTTGTGAGCCCTCATGTATCCAATATTTTCAAAAGAAAAAAAATAAAGATATTGCAACAGCTGTTTAAGCTAGAATTCATATTCCATTCTAAGCTAGTGCATTAAGATTTGGCTGCATCATGAACCCAACGTCTATGATTATTGTATCAGCATCACTTTCAATGAGCTGTAAGGTGTACAAATGAGTAATTCCTCAGGGACAGAATTCAAAGACGTTCCTTAAAGCAAGAGCCGGACTGCCATTGGTGTAAGGAAGCTAATTCCCAGCTTAATTTGAGAGGTTAACATGAGGACTATTCTTGTTAAGGGTACCTACCTAACACAGACGCATTCTTTAAAAAGGGCTCTAAATTATTCCTGTGTCGCATCAGCCTGACATGACTTCAGAAAGCTATTCCTTTCGGTGTTAATTTGCTCAAAAACACTGCAATATTAGTCGTCTAGATCAGCAGGCGACGGAGGTCTTTCAGATGTCTAGGGGATTTAATAGTGCAATCCCTTCCCCTGCAGCTGCCGCCATGTTCTCCCATTCCCAGACTATCTAGCGCAATGTCGAATACAAACATCAGTAAGGTCTTACAAGCGACAACTATTTAGAAAACATAAATATCGACAGAAGATCTACATTTCTAATTACAGACTCGTTTGCTGGGTTTATTTTTTGATTACGCAGATAAAGATGCGTGTGAATGTGCGGTACTGTACCTGCGCGTGTGCTCGGGATACTGGAACGGTGCTGAAGAGGCTGATCACGGCGCGTCTGATCTTATAATACAGACCCGACGAACGCGACTGTGCATGCGCAGACTAGCGCGACATTGCTGCCTACATCAGTCACTGAGGATGCTTGAGGTCAGACGACTATTATTAAGAAACAGCTAAATAAAATGTAGAATTGACGGACGGGAAAGGAAATATGAGTTTATTCTGCGAACGCATTTGCTTTAAACCAACGTGTCAGGTGCACACAACCTGCTGCTGCTGCGATGGCTTCAAAGGTGACGCAATTAATTATTCGACGAAAATGTTGGTCTCAAACAGAATTTTAAAAAAAAGAGGTCCAAGCTGAATTTATAAATAAATAAATGCACGTCAAGTAAATAAATGACTGATAATTTTATTCGATATTTGACAGGCGTTGATGCATGTTTTGTAGCATCTTGGCATTGACAGATTGTGCAACATACAGTGTTTACACGGATTTATTCATTTTGTTTCACTTAGTAGCGATTGCACAAAACAGAATGAAATAGAAAATGTAAACATAAATCAGTTATAGTGTACAAAAAAAGTCTAAAACACAACAACTAGACATGATTTAAACGATAATTCCCCTTTAGGCTTGTTGCTTGAGCATGGGTAAGGCATGTTGTGCTAATCATAGGCCAACAATAAAGCATATTTCATTGGCACATTAATCACAAAATATTCCAATTCCTTAACGATTAGTTTATTAGAGTTGAGGAAAATGCAATTTTTTATTAGTTTTTTGTAGCCAAACGATGAGATTATTTCAGTTTTCAACAGAACAGATTTAGCAAATCAGAAATAAAATTGATATAGTTCTTACTACTGTGTTACAGCGACACTGGGTCTCACGAGCCTTATACTCCAAAACAATTCACAAGTTAATTTGCGGTTTTGTAAGCGAGTCAGATTAATTCAGTAACTGTTGATTCACACAGGGTTTCATTCACTAAACAGACTCGGCTCACAAGAGTGAATTATACTACAGTGGTCGTGTGATCAAAACTTTTACCTCCTTACCACGACTGGATGTACCATAAAGATACACGTTTATTATTCCCTTCATTATCGCACCTTTGTTTAAAAAATTAATTAAAATACAATTTTAAAAAAATTGTCTGGAAAAACTACTGACATGTATAACAAATACAGATATTACCAATAAAAAAATACCAAAAATCATGGTGTTTGTTGGTATGCTTAAAAAACAACAACATTGGATTGTGCAATATTCATTAGTTTGCACACCACATGTAACTACTGCTAAGATCTCTATAGAATTTACAATAGGTTCATCCCTTCGGCCTTTTGGAAATGGCTAATGGTTGACATGTTTCATCGGATGTGTATTCTCTGGACAGCCCAAGGCTGGAGTGTGCCCTTGCCAAAAATTGTGAAGAAAACAGCTCCAAATATATTGATTGCGGCAGAGATGTAGAAGACAATTTGCCACTCTGGAATGGTGTTCTAGATAAAAACAAAATATTTAAGCATTTGTTACTTCATTATCACAAATGTGAAAAATTGATTTCTCTTGAAAATAAGCATTTAATGTTTGCATTTATGCATAGGCTATGCATCATATGGGGTGATACCGGGGGTCATATAGCCTATTCCTACATTACTTGAAGCTCCTTGATGGCTAATGTCAAAATCGTAATTGCACAATGTGCAAAATGCTAGACTTCATGTTAAATATTTTTCATAGGTTAGTACTGAGAGTCTGCACTCAGTTTGTGATATTCCTGTTATACAGTATTTTAGAGTAAACAGTAGGAATGCAACAATACAGTTAGCCCAAGTTTCAATAAATACCTCCGTTTTTTTAAACACAGTTTTCAGTTTGGTTCTGATGGTTTGGCACAACAGAGTTCTTTTTAGCGATTTTAAATGCTATTTTAAAAAACAAACTCCAGTACATTGTTGTACACTGTAGAAAAACATGGATTATCACATGTCTACCTTAAATTTATTTTGAGAGAAGTATTATTTTTATAGATTGGCCATTATTTAGTGCTATGAACACATGTAATGTCTGTTTCATTCATACTGGATACTAGAGGGCGCCCCTGCGCAGAAAGTCCACATATGCATCACCGAAGAAATAGAGCTCACGACTCCAGGAAATACCATACACATGTTTCCTCATCTCAGCGCACAACTCACGGACACACAAACAGAGCCAGTTTGGAGAGAAATAAAAAAAAAAAAACGGAAAACGCTCTGATTGGTTGAACTCCTCATCTTTTTCTGTTGCTTGTTTACTGCGCGTGGACAGGTCACCGGGTTTTTGCGTAGTTTAGAGTGACAAATCGTACCAGCGTACTTTAAGGTCAAAATGCGTACCCGCTACGCAAAATGCGTACAGGTTGGCAGGTCTGAACTTTCTTAATTTTTTGCAGCAAATGTCACAATGTAATGTAGTCTTTACATAAAAAACGATAAAATATTTTACATTTATACATAAATGCAATAAATCGTAACTTACAGATTTGGTCAGAGATCTTGCTATTACAGGGCCCACCATGCCAGGTATAGTGGCAAATGAGTTTGTGATCCCAAGCAATATCCCAGCATATCTGTGAAGAAAACATTTGATTAATGTATATATGAAAGTAAAGGGGTTTCATGCATGTACAGTTGTCCTAAACCATAAAACTTGTATAATTGCCAATAAAAAGCCTCGTCTTACGAGGGAGCAATGTCCAAATGGTTGATGTTAAATCCAGAGGCTGAAACGCCCCCTAGAGAGGAAGAGAGGGTGAGGAAGGCTATAGCCAAGACATAGTTACAGCCAGTGTAGCCAGCAGCCACGAGGAAGACGGCTGGTCCCACCATTCCTGGACACATTCAAAACGGACACACTGATTTACTCAAAGCATTAACAGACTTCACACCACCAGCTCAATCATCCCATCAATATTTTTTCAAATGAGCACTGTTCGGCAAACTAAGTAGAAAGAATTCCTTACCTACTATAGTGAATGCCTTACGCACAATTACAGTGCGGATAAGATATTTCTCTCTCAGGAGGTCTGCCAGCTGTCCACCCAGCAAAGCCAGCAACCAACAACCAAGGTAGGGCAAAGCCGAGAGCATTCCATTCTGAGAATGACACAGTGAGTTCACACACTAAACGGCAAAGGGGCCTTATGATGAGAGTCAATGATCATTCCCAGATGACCTATTTTTATATTAAACACACTACTGTTCAAAAGTTTGGGGTATGTACATTCTTTTTAAATAAATTGATACTTTTATTTAGCAATGATGCATCAAACTGATCAAAAGTGACAGTGAGGATAATGTTAGAAAATATTTTTATTTAAAATGAGTGTTGTTCTTTTGAACTTTCTATTCATCAAAGAGTTTCAATCAGCATATTAGAATGATTTCTGAAAGATCATGTGCTGCTGAAAATTCAGCTTTGCTATCACAGGAATAAATTATGTTTTAAAATATTAAAACAGAAAATAGTTATTTTATACTGTAATAATTTTTAGAATATTGAATATGACAGTTTTTACTGTATTTTGATTAAATAAATGCAGTCTTGGCAAGCATAAGAGATTTATTTCATATAGATAGATAGATAGATAGATAGATATTAACTCTTACCAACCTCTACATGGAAAACACAATTTTTATTTTGGAAGATGAAGATAAGTCAAAGTAAAAAAGATAATAAATATCACAAATGTATAATAATCTTCATCATTAGCTTACAAAGCATTCAAAACATTAAAATAAATTTGGTAAAAATACAAATTCTGATCATTAAAAAAAAAAAAGACGTGTCAGCCCTGCTTTTGCACTCACCTGCTGGATGCTGAATCCGAGTATATCATTCATGTAGGTGGGTAAGAGAGTCAGCAGAGTGTAAAATGTCCAGTTGTAAGAGAAGTGTGCCACAACTATGGCCCATAATGGCAAAGACTTGAGAATTGATGTCCATGGGATGTAATCTGTGGTTGGGGACAGCTGCAGCAGGAAATGGCACATTTTAACAAACAATTAACGAGTCAAACATTATCTGGTTTGAGAAAAAATATATATCAACTTAAAGACAGACACTGTATGATATCACTGTAATGTTGCCTACTTCATTTTTTAAAGATGCCATTATGTAGGTCTTCTCATCCTCTGATATCCTTTTGTGTAAGCTGGGACTGTTACTGACAAAGTAAGCCCAAAGGACAAACCAATGAAGTCCAACAGCTCCTATGATTTGTAAACAAACCAAATAAAGTGCATTTAGAGTGTACTAAGGAAAGTCTGTGAAAGCATCTTTAGCCTTACATTTTATGCTGCACACAGTTCACCTTTAAATGCGTAGTATAATGAAACTTACCAAATATATAAAAGACGTAAGTCCAGTCTAGGTAAAAACATATCTGGCCAGACAGAGGAAGGGCTACTACAGTTCCCAGCTGAGCACCTGTAAGCGGAAAGGGAAAAAAAGAGAAATAATAGTACAAATACACAAAAACTTGAGTAGATTGTTATAAATCAAACCAGGGCACCTGTGTAAGAGATAGTGAGTAGTCGACTTCTCTCCAGAGGTGGTGCCCATGATGCCCACATCGCATGCATAGCAGGATATGACACTCCCTGAAAGCACAAGAATAACCTTTTAAGACTTTTATTTTCCTAAATGAATAACACCTATATCATCTAAGGCAACATTGAAACATTGACTTGCAAACTACAAGAACAGAAAGTACTAAATCCATATGGTAGGTAATGAGTTTTGAGGTTACCTCCCCAATGCCTTCCAACACCCTGACAGCGATGAGGTAACCAGCTCCCAGATCAGCGGCTACTGGAGTCAGCAGGGTGAAGATCACAGTGCAAAGGATGCCGATACCAAAGAGCCACTTGGCACCATACTTACGTGCCAAGTAGCCACCTGGTATCTGAGTAAGTATGTATCCGTAGAAAAAAGAGCCCAGGATCCAGCCCTGAGTCTCTGAATCCCAGTCATACACACTGGCCTGTTGAGACATTGAACTAAATATGTGACCCTGGAGCACAAAACCAGTCTTAAGTCGCTGGGGTATATTTTTAGCAATAGCCAAAAAAACATTGTATGGGTCAAAATTATAAATTTTTCTTTTATGCCAAAAATCATTAGGATATGAAGTAAAGACCATGTTCCAAGAAGATATTTAGTAAATTTCTAGCACCTCCTGGTGAGAGCAAAAAAAGGGAAAAACCTGTAATTTCATGGTGTAACCACTAGATTCCTGTATAGGACTCTATAGAGAGGCTTGTGAATTCCCTAGTTGTTTTTATACATAATTGTTTACTTTTATTAGGTTGTGGATTTAAATGTATATTAAGGCATTCTCAAAGACTACTTTTTGTCAAGGTTTATATTTTTTGTTGTTTTTTTTGTTGATTTGAAGTGTAGGTTTTTGCATTATTATTACTACATTCAAACCTGAACACAGAAAGCATTTTGATACACAAAACATTAAAATTCTATAAAAATGTAACAAAAATGAACAGGAATGCTTTATCAGAGCTTAATCTGATCTGATTTTAACTTCTTATTTCAGTCTTCTGACTCATTTTGGCTATCTGGTTATAGCCATACCAATTCATTTGAGTATGTATAATTCTGTATGTGTGTGTCTGTGAGTGTGTGCTGTCCACTTTTTTACTGCATTGTAGTTGAATTATTGATTTTATTTTACATAGTTGCAGTGTCCAATTCATAGGTGTGTGTTCAAGTGTGTGTCCGCGCGTGTGTGAGTTGGTGTGTTGATTTTGCACTCTAGATGTTTTAGAGTTTCACCCCTTCATTGCTGTGCAATTTCTTTCTGCATTGTGGGGGATTTGTAGATTGTACACACAAAATTTTTCTGTATTTTCAATTTTCCCCCCCATTTCCCATTCATTTCCTATGGTCGGTCATTTTTGACCGAAGACCATGAGTGTGACTATTTTATTTACAACCACTTAGCTTTTTCGAATCATGCCCTCAATTTTTTTTGTGTGTGTGCACATACCAAGTGTCATAAAAGTCACCAAGTTTCGTACCATCCTGATGAAGCTACGATTTTTAAAAATGTAAATTGTAAAATTCTCCGGTCAGAAGTGAGCGAAGACCGCACAAGGGTTAAAACCACTTTAAATAACAGACATTGTCATTGTTAAACACAAACACAATAAATTCAAGCAGCTTGAATTGAAAGAGAAATACATTAAAATATGTTTTAAATATTAACAAAAATATTACTTACAAATCCTAAAATAAATACATGAGCAAAGTATAACATAAATTAAATTAAACTTAAGGGGTTAATATTGCATATACCTGTGCATTTCTGATGTCTTTCTTAAAGACTGAAAATAAATTTTCATTCAAATCATTTACTTATTGACTTACAAGTTATGATTTTGTTCGATAGATTCCTAAATCTGTATCATTCATTATTGACACATTGTTCACAAAACATGTATTACATTTTTAAATAATAATAATAAATAAATCATATTGTAACAAAAGATTAAGACATCTGAAATTAACATATTATGATTTTACAGTTATAACTAGAGTTACTATAGTATAGTATCAGGCGGAAACAAGTTATGACAATATATTTTTAGGGCAGCTACCTGCATGACCAATGCTCTTCCTCCTTCACGTGCCTGGATGTTTTGAAAAAGCTCTTGAATTATTCATGTAGACTGCATCAAATACTGCGTCAATTATATCACACTGACTCAACTAAAGAGATGAAGTCTGCACTTTTGGGATGATTGAATAACTGAGACATCTTATGGATACTATAAACCAATAAGGAAGTTCTCAACACGAGCTGTTCTAGCAAATTACAAGTTTACAATGCAGCTGAACATTGTCAGTTAAGCACAACTATTACAACTGCATTTTCAAATGTATTATTACTTTGTAAGTACTAATATTATAGCACGGATGGTACCAGCGGACTTTTTACGTGACATGTTGTAAAACTGCATAAATACATAATAGGCATTCATAGTTAATGTCCGGCTACCTTTCTGATTGTTTCCGGTGTCTTTCCGGCGTAGTAAAGGCTGGACATGATCTTCAGTTTCTGAGTCTGACGCTGAATGCTCCATCATCTTCAGCGGCTGCTCTCCTCTCCGGCAGTTTTCTTCTGGTCAGACGACCAGAAACACAACAACACACTCTGAATGCCGAACCCGTGTTTCACCGTCAGCAAAAATACATACCATAATAAAAGTCCCGTGGTCACCAGCAGACCTCTACTGATTGTAGAGGTAAAAAAAATATATATGTTCTTCTGAACTTTCTATCCATCAAAGAAACCTGAAAAAAAATTATACTCAGCTGTTTTCAACATAATATTAATAATAATAATTGTTTTTGAATATTATCTAATATTCAGAATATTAGAATGATTTCTGAAGGATCATGTGACACTGAAGACTGGAGTAATGATCATAAAAATCACAGATAAACATAAAAACAAAATAACAAACACATACAGTACAGTATAATATATATATATAATTCTCTTCTGCTCACCAAGCCTGCATTTATTTGATCCAAAATACAGCAAAAGCTGTAATACTGTGAAATATTTTTACTATTTAAAATAACTGCGTTCTATTTGAATATATTTTAAAATGTAATTTATTCCTGTGATTTCAAAGCATCATTAATCCAGCCTTCAATGTCACATGCTCCTTCAGAAATCATTCTAATATTCTTGGATCAAATAAATGCAGGCTTGGTGAGCAGAAGATAATTCTTTAAAAAAAAACATAAAAAATCTTACTGTTCAAAAACCTTTAACTGGTAGTGTATGTATAAAATATTTCCCATGAAATATTTATTGATGTGGCCTTTTTATATTAAACTATGATTGTTCATGGTTTAATCATTGACAGACTGTTGCTTTTAAGGATCCATTACCAAAAAGATTTTGTGCCTTTTCTAGTTTGTGAGCTTTATATCATTGCAATAATTATCCACTAAGAGGGGCTAAAGTATTACAGCAGTCCATGCTTTAAGGAAATTCAAATCTGGTCTAAATCAGCAGGATTCAGCTGGCTTTTAAGATCTTCATTAGTATAATTATGTATTCAATTTTTCACAGTGAACTTTTAAATGTTACATTTTACTGTAAAGTCAACACATGCATTATCTAAATGTGTTACAAACTTCTTTCTTCGATTTTTATGAATTTTTAAATTTTTTTAATGTAAAGCTGCTTTGAAATAATGTCCATTATGAAAAGTGTTATATAAATAAAACTAACATTCTAACATTCTTGTTCTATCTCTCTCTCTCTCACACACACACACAGTAATAATCCTCACTTGTGGAAGACAGTGAGAAAACAGTCAGAGGAGCCTTCTAATGATTTCAATTTATGTGGAATCAGTAATGTGGGAAGTACAAGCCCTCATGGCAATGAAGTGGAAATTATTTACCTAGTCCAAGAAAGGAACTGGCAGGGTACCCAACCACCCGCTAATGTAGAAAAGGCTAAGACTTGTGGAAGCTCGTAACAAAAGTTGACAGAGATGATAAATGTTCAACATTAATTTATTGTGTGCAAAGAGTACATTAAAAAAGGCAAATATGAAGAACTGACTAAAGAATGAGGATGAGCTTTTCTCCAAATGAATACACAATATTTTTCAAATCTGTGAAAATTCCTGCACAGATTGCATATAAATATGTATACATTTAACAGACTTAAAATATCTTGTTAAAATACATTTCACGACTTGAAACATATAGTTTGTGTTTCAGACGTGACTAGTGTTTCTATATCATCGTTACATGGAATTAGAGCATTTCAGCACCCTGGTCTCTTAAAAACAAAAAAACAATGCCCCGAGTTTACATCAAAACATGCAAACATATAGTACATTAGTAGAACATGAAATACTTGGTACGTTATTGCAGAGGTTATGAGTATAGTTATGAATGTTAAAGAACTATTCTCCTCTATGTTACTCATCCATCTCGGTATTCCCTGATAGCACTTTACAGTGACACAAACACCATTTCTGTTCGTTTATATTTTCTACCAATGACTCTTAACTCACTTAAAACATCCATGTCCTTTTTTTCATATTCTTTCTTACTTTACACAGATCTTTCCATCTGTCCTACTTGTCAAAAGCCCTTTTTCTGCAAGTCAAAACCAAAATCAGTACAACAGAGATGCAGATTACCACAAGCTCTAAATGTTTAGCTTGTCAGTAGTAGTACAGTATTTTAGAACTAAACCTCACCATTTCTATCATCTCCATTACTACTAATGACTTTAACAAAACTTAATGATCATAATTCATACAAAAGCATTATGATAAAACATCACTGGCAACAATGCCTGGTTCTTTAATTGGTCTTATCACAGAGATACATGCAATATTATAACAATAAATCATATATAAACAGAATGCAGTTTACCAGCAACTGCCAAAAACACAATTGTCCACAATGTCCTTAGGGACTGAGATGTCCATGGTACGAATGCTGAAGGAATGAACTTTCTAAAAGTCAATGCAGTCATACCAAAAAATGCCACAGTCTCTCAGCCTGGCGAGGAATAGGAGGCAGGAGAGGTATGTAGAGCTTTGGGAAGAGGAAGGCACAATTTTGTAGCATATTTAACATGGAACGTGCAAAGCCTACCCATAAATACTAAAATGCTGCTGTTTCTCTGCTAACCTGAATGTGTTTGAACATTCATAAAGAAATAAACAGGCATACTGTAACATTTGCAGTTTGGGTACAGCTATTCTCTCGTGATGGTCTCGTGCCACTTCCCAAAACGTTTTGAAAATAGTGAAGACGGAGCATAAAAAACGCTGCATCTGTCAGACACATCCTTCCTTCCCTATTTCCCTCTAAGCACATTTTCCGCATCCCTCCCTTTTTCAAAACAATGCAGACGTTAGCAGTGTTCCTAAGGAAGGAGATGAATAAATGTGGCTGAGAAGGAGTTTCGAGAGGACCCAATGGAAACCAGGTTTGCTCTCTCAGTTGGGTGCAGTGTTGTCGTTGAGTTGGTCTGAAGGGACAGTGAGGTTTTGGATTTGGCGGTACACAAAGAAGAAGAGTTGTGGCTGCGGGCGGCTGTGCAGTTCGGCCTTGATCCTCTGCGGGTGAGTGTCCGGGGCCAGCTGCTGTGTGGTTTCATCCGTCAAGAGGAAAAGGGCGTAGTTCTCCGGGTCCGAAATTTTAAGCTTGTCTGCGCATTTCTGACACACATCCTCCGTTGTGGAGTAAGGTTGCACCTGAAGGGTTTTGGCTGTGCAGCCACTGCTTGCATCTTGCAGCGCAACCCGCAAGTAGTTCTGAATACACACAAGAAGAAATCTAGGTGTAAATCCCAATATATATCAAGCTCGTTTAAGAACACATATTTATGTTCCTAAACTTCTATTGTTTCAAGGAAGAAAAGGGAGAATAGAACTTATATGACCATGTCTAATAAGGAATTGACCTGGAAATCATCCACAGATGGTGTGGTACGCTGGGTTGTGCGTCTGCGGTGCCACTGGTGCAGCGTGTTACGGGTTTCAGAGCTCAGCACACGAGCTGCCTGGTCCTCCTGGAAGTTCTTGATTAGAGACATTGCCCCATATGCACTGGTCAGGTAATAGCCTCCTACAATCAGATAAAAAAAACTGGAACATTAAAAAAGTTTGATACCCAATGAAATGAATAATTAATAATAATAACTTCAGCAGTTATTGCAGTAGCCCAATGATTGTGACGGATATGCGGAACCCACTGGGGTCTTCTAATGTACCTTCTCCATGAAGCAGTGATGGGTCCAGTAACTCCATCATGTACTCTATTTCAGCGTCCAGCTGTGGCATGTCACACTGGGCCATCACATACGTCAGCATGGGCAGGAAGTCATCTGCCCCATACATCCTCCCTGTCATTGTTACAACAAAAATTGAAATCATGAATTGAAATCAAATTATGCAGAAGTATTATGATCATTTTGTGTGCAACCACACTCATGGATTTCACACAGATGCATCACGCTCGTGTACCTGAGTTGCTCTCCATTATGGTGTAGATAAGCTTGCACACACTGAGAAGCAGAGACACTTTCTTCTCAGGTGAGTACATCTTGCACATGTTGTGGAACTTGTGGCGAATCTTCTCTATGGCAACAGGGTCAGGGGGCAGAGCTCCATCCACACCCATCTCCTGGGGCTGCTTGGCTTTGGCCAAAACCAGATTCTCTTTCAGCTGCTGCCAAGTCCCACTGCTCACCTGGAAGTCCCGCAAGGCGGCCTCTATCACAGGCTTTAGGGGCTTCAGCACACACTTGTACATGGCTTTCTCCATCACCTGATCTGAGGAAAAAGACGTTATATAATAATTATATAGAAATAGAAATAATTAGAATAACTGCATATAAATACGTAACAGGTCAAAGCTAAATGCAGTTTTTTTTTTTTTTTTTTTTTATAAAACAGACATTCTCATTTGTTCGCATTTATTTGTTCAAAGATAAAGTAAAAATAAGTAATATTGTGAAACATCACAGTTTAATATAAATATTTTTTTCTAATTTAATATATTTTAGAATTTAATTTATTCATGTGATGGCAAAGCTGAATTCTCAGCAGCCATTAGTCCAGTCTTCAGTGTCATATGATCCCTCAGAAATAATTCTAATTCTTGCTATAAAAGTATTTTCAAAAATTGTAAAAAATATATTATTTTTTTAAGTACTTCCAATTAAAATTGCTATAAAAGTATTTTCTCCAGCAAGGATCCAGAAATCCTACTCACTAATTTATATAAACTTGACAATCATGTTATCCAGCATGATTTAAAAAAAAATATCCAAATGACTTTTTTTATAGCCATTACATCACATATGTTTTGGAATTTGTTTTGGTGCACTCTGAAAATAGTAACTATAGAAGGCAAAGGAACAGAAGAAAAAAATTGGAACATAAAATCCCTCCAAAAAGTGAACAAAACGTCTGTCGGCAAGTCTATTTGTGGATGAACTGACTGTGACCATGAGTATATTGACTGGGATGTACGACGTGGTTTGTTCCATTTCCTGCTTTAAAGGGGAATACCTGCTTATAGTATTTTTACACCTGCTTTTCCAAAACTCTTCAACATTTACAAAATGTCTCCTGAAGCACAAGAGTCTCTGGTATGCTCACATATGACTCAATGCAACAAGTTGTCTTGTAACTTTGATTGTGCAAGCAGGGCTTGAAGATCATACCTAAATTGTAAAATCATCTATAAACTAGAAGTGTATGTGTAACTAAAATCATCTGATCTAAAGAGCAGAACGTAATGTTTAATCAGGTCTTGGAAAATGCTGACAGCACTGCTTCTGTCAGCACACTGGACCACTGAGGGAAGCAACTCCATCATAAGTGGTCTGACAACAGATATGCTCTGGCCGCACGGTATACTGTATGTATATATATATATATA